GGTTGCCATCTTTTTGAAAAGTGAATAAAGGACTACGATGCTGACAGGGGCTCCGGTAAACAAAAAGTCCTCATCCTTCTACTGAACTTCTAAAAAAAAACTCACCGAGCTTGTAACAAAAAAATCATTCTACCGAGTTTCTAAAAAGTCCTCAGCTTATATATCTTTGTACAAACCATGTTCCTTCGGGTTTTAGCCACTGGAAACTCTTACACTAGCTCAATTTATACTTTTAAAATATCTAAGCAAAATATCTTTACAATATTTATAATAGTTATTGAAGTTTGTAAGGCATTGGCAGAAGTGTTAAAAGACTACATAAATGGAAGAAAATATTTTATTTTTAATCATTGATATTGAATACGCTTAAGTGTTAACATCAAGAGTATGTAGATAATCTTGTAAACGAGTTTAAGCCTCTGAAAACTGTGTCTGATAAAATTGATCAAAATAACTAGATGATGGAGTACGAACATATGATGAAGCAAATGAATCCTAAGCAAATGGCGATAGTGATGATGCATGTATACATTCGGTATACTTGATTGAAAGTGTATCTCAACAGATAAATTCTGGTAATTATTATGTTTTCCCATCTCAGCCTCAAAAATAATATTGTTCATTAGACGAAGAAAAAATCTTAAAATGTATTATAGTACAGACTAAGCGTGGAGTCTTTCACATCGATGCTGCATTGGTGGCTTTAAGGATATTTGAGAGAGCTGGGGCAAGGGAGAGTATACATATAGGTACACCTACCTATTGTTGGAATCTGTCTTCAAATTCGGTTATTTGACTGTCATAGCTTTTTGTCTCGATAGTTCAATTATTGGTAAAGCGACAAGGCGTAAACCAAGGAAAACAGGTTCGATATTTCTTCTCAACTTTTCAATTTCTCTTTGGTTTGTTTTCACTTTAGGGTGGTGAGGATGGATTTCTTACTTTCCAAATACTTGGGAGTCATCTTTGACCACAGGTTAACATGAAATCAACACTTGCAAAAAGTCACCCAAAAGAGCACAACATCCTTCAACTTATCTCGAAGGTTGTGTGGAAAAAATTTGGGACTACAACCGAAAATGTCCCTATGGTTATATACCTGAGTAATAAGGCCGATAATAACCTACGAATCGGTGGTATGGTGGCCAAAGACTCAGCAAGTTGGAGCCATTCGACAGCTCAATGGTATTCAAAGGCAAGCATGCCTGAGTACCAGAGGAGCTATGAGAACGACTCCAATAGCAGCTATAGAAGTCACGCTAAACCTAACATACATATACAAGGCGAAGCCAGGTCTGTCACATACAAACTGCACAAAGGTTCATCACCCATAAGCAGTTTGCATGGACGTGACTAGAGCGAGCTATATAAAGAGTTGGAGAACGACCAAATAATGAGAATGCCTTCAGTTGAAATGATCCCAAAGTATAGCTTTCAAAAGCAATATAAAGTAAGTATACCAGACAGGCAAGCGTGGACAGGAGGACCTTCTATTCATGCAGAATTCACCTAGTATACAGACGGCTCCAAAACCCATGAAGATTCAGGAGTAGGTATATATAGTACCAAGCCAAAGACAAGAATCTCACTGAGCTTAGGTAAACATGCGACAGTATTCCAGGCAGAAATAGCAGCAATACATCACTGCCCAAAAGAGGTATTAAGACAGAAGGTAAATGGAAAAACCATTTTCATATACTCAGACAGTAAGGCGACGTTAAAGGCACTCAGTTCCATGCAGGTACACTCAAAGCTTGTGTGGGACTGTTTGGAAGCCCTAACAGAGCTGGGTCGTCAAAAGAGACTAACCTTAGCCTGAGTACCAGGCCGCAGAGGACATAAGCGCAATGAAGAGGCTGATTTACTATCCCGAGAAGGAGCCTCAAATGCTCTTATTGGCCCAGAACCCTTCTGTGGTGTAACAAAAACAACTATCAGAACATTCACAAAGCAGTGGATGTTTAAAAAATCTCAGGAGTGGTGAAAAAACTTTTCAGGACAGAGACAGGCCAAACAGTTCTTAGAAGGACCATCGCCTAAACTCACCGAGCATCTACTAAGCCTTAATAGGAAAAATACTAAAGTACTAGTAGGTCTATTAACAGGGCATTGTAGGCTTAACAAACATATGTGTAATATCGGTCTGACAGAAGAGACCTTGTGCCGATTCTGTCAGGAAGAGGAAGAAATGGTAGTACACGTATTGTGCTACTGCGAAGGTCTAGTAAGACTGAGATTCCTTACACTTGGAGAGGAAAAACCAAGGGCAACTAGCTATACCGGAGAACTACTTCCCAGTCTATGGAGTATACTACAAAAGACCGAATTAGACAAGGTACTCTAAATAACGATTCAAGGATATCCATAATAGATTTGAAAAAGTCGAAGTGGGGAAAGCCACATGGCCCACAGTCCTAATTAAATCTAAATCTAATATTCCTAAGAATAATTGGGATTTTTATTTTCACATATTTTTTAAATGCTTAATTTAATTTTCGGACCTGTAATCGATACATTCTCTTCTTTCTTTAAAAAAAAATATTTCTGAATAAAATACAGAAAATACCGTTGCATTTGTATTGATGAATTGATAAATTATTTACTATTTTAAATTCCTTGGAAATCTCTTATAAATCCTAAAATTACCCCTACGAAATATTGAAAATTATTTTTTGAACCCCTGAGGTGAAAACAAACTTAATGAAAAAATGAAAAATTCTGTCCACGTGGTGATTCGAACCCATCTATCACTGTTCTACTTACACCGTTCTTACCAATTGAGCTATCAACCGACTTCCCAATTGTTAAGATGAATATAAGGTTCCGAATCTAACCTTGTTTTCAGAACATTTTTAGTTTTTCAACAAACCACTAATCAGCACCGTTACTGCAAAATTTCCTATTGTATAAAATTTTCGTATTAATTTTCATGAAAGGCAATATATTTTTAATATTAATAAATTCTTACAATTTGTAGAACAATTCTTATGGCGCATATGGATTTATATTTACTATTGTACTACATATACAATCTCTACAAATATTTGGAAATGTTTACTACAAATTGTCCCAGTCGCTGTATTATTATGTACTATTTTATTGTAGAGAAAAATGTAAAATTATTGTAGAATTTACAATTTTTTTTGTGAACACAAATTCGTTTAAAAATATGGTGGAGGATCAAATTCCTCCACCGAAACTTAATGTTTTTTATCACCAAACTATAAGACAAGAACGAACAATACAAGTGACGTTACAAAGACGCGTATTAATTAATTATTATTATTAATAATTAATTAATTAATTAAATAATTGGAGACTTGAATAAGTCTTTCATCTTAAATTAACAACAGAACGCGTCTCTCCACCCGTATGTAAATAAGAATTCCAAAAGTAATACCGCCAAAGATATTCATTTGAGCTTTAATTTTTTAATATGATAAACAAGAGCAAAATAATAGTATTCCAAGTATAATTACAAACGAGTTATCTTTCAAGCCTTGCCTAAAAAATGGCAAATTTATGGAAAACTTTGGAGATTTATGGCTAACAATCGTAAATTTTTATATCAATTATAATTTATTTGGTAGTGTCACATTTCAAATATAATTTTTTAATACTTAATTTTATCATTTTCTTTTAAAGTATTTATTTCTTATATAAACAAATTTTCAAATGATTCGACTGAGGTTACTCAAGAATATAACGGTTTCATAAAAAGCTACAAAACTGAGGAATTTTGCATCGGTAATTAGCTGTACACACGATAGAAAAAAGAATAGTTAAAAATCCAGACTCGTAATTAAAAATAAAGTTAAAGGTGGCCCTGGAAAGATGAAATGGCATTTGCTTCTTGGAATTTTATTTCCCAATTATCATTACTTAGTATTTTATGTTTGAGGTACAACTCTATGTTTTTCGAAAAGGGGGCCATTTAATCGTTCTATTTGAGAATTTCCCTAAGGGTTCTAAGGAGTAGTTCTACTTGAAGCAATATTAAGTGACACCATGAAACTTTCAAGCTCATTTGACACAAAGAACAGAAAATGGAAATCCAAAGATATAGAAAAGATTCAGCAAGTGTTTTTTTTAGTATACTAGCTTTAAATTTAATAAGAAAACACGAATGAAAACTTGAATAATCATCTATAATTATTGTAAATAGATAGTGCTTATTATTATTTGAGGAAAGAGGTCCTTTGAAATATAAATTTAGTATTTCGAAGGAAGCAGTAGCCTTAATTATGGACCCTTGATCTGTGTAAAATCCATAGCTTTCACTGCCCGACATATTAGAGCACATTCGTAATTAGTTTAAGTTCTTAAGTGAAAAAATGTAAATTTTTATAACGCACATTTAATTTTCCTGGCTTATAGATACCATAAATCGATATATTTAAAGCAGAAAAGATGCAGTCGCCACCTTTTGATCTTCGCATTTTTAATTTTGCTAGAATTTTTAAAACTGGACATAAATGATACAGATCTTTGATCAGTAATCAGTTTGAAATGCTTTGTAATCAAATAATGACGCCATTTTCGTATTGACTCCACTATTGTATGAGCTTCCTTTTAAACAGATCCTTTCCATTATTGATGATCTCTATTACTCACGCGCAAATTTTACCTCTGCTTAAAATCATCGAAATTTATTGTTGTTATGTTTCCTACCTTGTTAGAATTAACGATATATTTATTATATAGCCTTGTACAAAAATGTGTACCAAAAAAGTTCCCTATTGTATTAGGCATTCCAAACAAAATGGCTGCCCGTTTACAGGCACATTATAAGTTATAATATGGCAACACTGTGGGCCTGGTGGTTTAATAGGATCAATGATATAAACAGTTATATAGATTGATCATCCATATCTTTAAAAATAAACATAAGCTTATGCCTTGAAGTAAAAATGTAAGTAAATATATTCTTTAATATATTCCAATATGGCCGCTCGCAAACGACTGGCTTTAAGCAATCTATATCAATGACAACAGGCCCACAGGGTTGCCATAACTAAACTGACAGTTCCCGCTGGTAGCATTTTGACAGGTCGTTGAAATCGATGACAGTTGTTTAAAGTAACGAAACCCAACAGTTATAAGACGAGGATAAGCAAAAAGTATTTGAAAAATTACTAAATTGAAAAGTCCTGCGCTTTTTTCGCGCATGAGTAATGCAAAATTGTCGAATAATGGGAAAGGCGGATTGCAATTTCTGACAGAGACCTAAAGAAGAAGACAACTGGTCTATTTTGTCGAATATCTCCGGTACGAAAATCTTTGGGCGAAAAACCATATTTACATTGATTTTTTTAGATTTGCCTCATTTTTCTTGTAATACCTTAATCACAACCTTAGAACATAAATCACAACAACTGAATATTCCTAATCGTCTATTCTTTATTATTATTGGCTTAACAACGTACAAAAAACTTACTAAATAATCCGTCAAAATGACATTTCATTCATATATTTTCTTTTTATTGTCATTTTGAGCTATTTTTTTACTAATCAGCTACAATCGGCACACAAACATGCCAAAAGAAGATACTGTAAGCGAAGTCAGCGATGTTAGTGGTAAATCGGAAAAATCAGCTTATCATCCCCAAATCGAAGGCTTCACAGATTTTGATAGAGGCGAAGAAAAACCTGTGGGCGAAGAAGGAGAAGGCGAGGAAGATAAACAAAAAGAATATGGAGCTTTAAATTTTATGAGCGATCAGGAATTGATAGACTATGCTAATGAATTGGAAGTATCTATTCGTTATTTAGAGGTAGGGTTTTTGATTTTTTGTCTATTCTCTAGTGATACAGTGGAAACATTTTGAAATCAATGTAAAGCTTCCTAAATTATGTAATTTAATTTGAGAGTCTGCATTATTCACTAATTTCAAAAAATAATTAGAACATTTTAGGGGTGAATATAGTATTACTAAACTATTCTAAAAATAAAATACAGGGTGTTCTATTTAAAAAACATAAATTTTTATTTGCCAGGCAAAACTGCAACACCCTGTATATCCAGAAATATGTTTAAAATATGTATCTTTCAAATCCATATAACTTTTATTTAAAACTTTTTGCGTGTCTATGACACAAATTGAATTATTGAACAATTACGCACTAATGGTACACCCTATATTACAAAAAAAATTAATTAAAACGTCCGTATAGAACCTTAAACATACAGCGTACACCATACAGCTCAAAATTCGGCTTGTTTTGCTCAAATAAAACTTGTTTTGTATGTATAATTATTTTAACCTACCTTTTTGTAATACCCTGTGTATCCATATATTCCTATTTGTTTCATTTTTTTAGGTAGAGAACGAAATATTTTGGGTTTTCCTTGAAAAATACAGTCCGCAAGCATTAGAAGGACTAGAACAAAAAATAATGTCCGCTACTATAGCCGCCATTAAAAGAGCACCATCAGGAACTACAAAAATAAACTCAAAGTCATCATCAGGTAAATTTTTATTATGAGTAATCATTTTTTCTGGCCCTCAAATTAAATTTGCACGCCTAATTAGTGGATTAGTAGACTTTGTGGGAGATATAATTACTTAATTTGAAATATAGTATGTGAATTGACTATAATTAGAATAGAATAGAATAAAACACATTTAAAACCTTTTAAATTCAATCAACATACAAATATTATCTCTGATACTAAGTAAAAAATCCCTCAAGGTTCATAAAAATAAATCCCTTTCTCGCGTCGTCTTGCTAGGAGACCTGAATTCCATAGCTACTAGTTTGGAGATCATTTCTCCAACCCTAACAGTGTCCTGTCAATCTTCTCATCGATCTCCCATCTCTAGAATCTCAAACAAACTTCTGACCTTTTCGGCCACATCTTGAATCACCTATTATCGACCATATTTTAGAGATTCCTTTAAAGATCAGATTGCTTCTAGGTGCTTCATTGGAGAAACAATTCCTTTCGATCATCTCAGTCTCATGTTACATACATCTCTCTCTTTACTTAATCCAATATCTGAAAAATCGTATTTTTGACAACCACGCCTAATCAACGCCTCTCTTGAAAATGACACATTGGTAAAAGAAGTTTAAACTACCGTCGAATCTTCTGCATCTATCACTTTCATAACCTTTATCCATAAAAAATGCCACTTCCACAGATAGTTCGAACTTACTCGTGACCTTGACCTAAAAATTGAAAGAAACCATATAAAGATCCTGACCAGACTCCAAATAAATCACATACAACAAGAACGAATTGATATCATATCTGCCGAAAAAGTCCTGATCAACGTTGAAGCCTTATTTAGAAACCCTATAAAATTTACTTTGATGACCACTTCCAAACCCTTATATGTCGAAAATGCTCTAACAGCCCCTTTTACCTTCGAAGACATCTATACTTCCAGTCAATCTGGCAACAGGCTCCTAACTCCGACTCCATAATTGGACGAACAATGAAATATCTCCCTGAAACCACGTTTCCTAGCCTCTCCCTCTTCCTTACTACATGCCTGTCCCAATCCTACTTTTCTCTTGCCTGGAAAACCACCAATACCGTTTATAATTCTTAAACCTTGCAAGAACCCCAAATCAAACCGTATTAACCCTGTCATAGACAGATATGAATATACACATCGAGCTTCTGTTCAATGAGATGATCTAGGCTTTATTATGTGAATAGAGAAACATCAAATTCGATCGTAAAATGAATTTAGATCTCACCACTTAACACAGGACATCCTCACTTCTTTTCAGACCTCCACTACCAAAGCAATAAACTTCAAACACATCCCCTCAGCTGTTCTTCCCGATGTTCAAAAAGCTTTTGACCTCCTTGCTGATCTCCAGGATCTACTATAATCGGCCCACTATGCATTTAATAACAAATCCTTCATCCTTATATAGAATTAAGAAACATTAGTACATAATCTTAATTTAGGTTTTAATGGTTTCTTCAAATCATATTTTTCCAGTTATACTGAACTTGGTCTAAAATAAAATAGCAAAATTAGCCATTCTTACAACGGGAACAAACCTACCTACAGGTTCCAGTCGTACATGTCTTAGGAAGTTAGCTAGCTAGGTTACTTATTGTAATAAGACCAACTATCATGAAAAGAAGGATTAACTAATATAGTATGGCATCAGAAAAACGAAATACCCTAAAAAATATAATACAAACCAAGAAATTAAAAATGATACAAGCAAAAAAGTGAATCTTCTTTTCGATAAACTTTGTATATGTTACTTGCATAATTTTAATACAAATACACAATACAAATGTTTAATCAAAATGCAAGCATTAATCAAATTACATGATATTAATGATAATACAATAAAAATGAACATAGTGAAACTTTGCTGACTGGCTAGAAGAAGAAGTTAATTCAATCACTGTTACATTTAATCCATTTCAAAGATCTGCTAAACAAGAGAATGTTTTAGTGGCTCATGAAAAACACAACAAAGAAACCTACTTCAATCTTAGGTTTCTTTGTTTAGCAGATCTTTAGATCTTTGAAATGGATTAAATGTAACAGTGATTGAATTAACTTCTTCTTCTAGCCAGTCAGCAAAGTCCTCTAAAGAGGTGTGAGGATTGGTTAATTAATAGATTATCTAAATTTTCCTCAATTATATCTCTGAATTGGGGTCAGCTTATCTACCAGCGAAGATAAAAGTTCTGAATTCAATAAAAATAACAATCAGAATCAATATTTTTATAGTAGTAACCATATTTAATATAGTGTTCAGGAAAAAATACTGGAGTTGAGTTTATCTTCTTTAATTGGGTTTAGTTTTCGCGCTTTCTGTAATTGAAACAAGACAATCCACTCTTGATGACCAAAGTGCATCTCCAGTAGCTTAATAATTTTATTTAAATTATTTGCCGAAATGAGAAAGGCTTTAACAGTGTATCTGGCCTTACCGTTCAAAGGTCTGTCTAAGCATACCAAATTTTCTTGATCAGGAAGATTAAAGTACTCAGAAGTACGCTTAAACTTGGAAATAAAAACAGGCCACTCAGAGATGTCACCAACGAAAGAAGGTAGATCTTTTAATTTTGAACGTAATAGTAGTTGATTTGTCATGTTACTGTTCTGCACACACTGCTTAGCTATATCAAGAAGCAAATCATTATTAGCTTTATTATCTTCTTCAGCTTTTTTGCACATTGCTTAAAGATGAAGGGATAATGACACAAAAGATTGGACTGGTATAGACAGGGCACATTGTCTGGCATCATTAATCCAATTATTAAATTTTTCAGGGGAGTCATAAAGTCTTTCTGAAACTGGCAGTTCATCATCACTATCTTACTCTTCCAATATTAAATTCGGAATTTCTGCTTCTTTTATCAGTAACTCAGGTTTCCTACTAATTATACGTAGCTCTTCTTCGTCAAGTTTCTTTTGCATTGCAATAAATTGTAATTCTACGGTTATTGGATGGTTATTGGACTTACAGCCTTCCACCACCGTAGCAGGATATCTCCTTGGAGGAACACCTCTATTATTTCTACAGCTCCTTCTAGTATTTTCCATATCGCTTAATTAATTAGCTCGAAAGGACCAATGTTACTTGCACAATACTAAATTTTTAATCAATATGTAATTTTATTACATTGACATATCAGAATACATAGCACAAATGATAATACAATAAAAATGAACATAGTGAATAAGTAATAACTGTATATTTTGCTTTAGATTCTAGCTTGACCAGCCTAACTCGGAAGAAGAGTTCCATAGTGGAATCTATGCCAAGCATTACCAACTTGATTGAAGGTAAAGGTCCAAAAATCAATCTATCCACTAAAACTGACATGGTTACGAGAACGTTAGAGCAAGCTCAAGCGGCCCATGATGATTTCATCAAAAAGGCACTAAGAACAAAAAGAAACTTGAAATCAGAACTCGAGGAATTTGTTATTCGCGAAACTGATTTAAAGTATGCAAGAAACCAATTCGAATATAATATAGTTATAAATGGCGTGGAAAAATTGACTGGGAAAATCCCAGCTGAAAAATGGTTAAGGTTAGTATAAAAACTTCAACGAAACTCATTTGATAGACTTGATAATTTAGTTGTCATAAAAGTGCATTTTCATTCAATTTCTTGTTGAAAAATACAGATATTGGAAATAAAAAAACCTGCCCCCAAAACTTTTGAAGTGAGTTTAAAAGAACCAAACCTGTTCTACCCTAGCTTTATTGGGCTTGACATTTACTGCCTTCGATCATGGTGGACTGTATGACTGTATTTGAAATAGATTACCTGGGGTGAAGGCTTTATGCTCCAACCTATAGCCTCTGGAAGATACTCTTGAAGTTCTGGTTAAAGCACTGGGTTTATTCAAATAAAACTATCACCCTATATTTGAATTTGATATATTCACGGCTTGCTGATTTCACATTTTACACATTTACTACTTGGTTACATAAATTTATTGATCGATTACATATTAACTTTTGTAAATCAAATCGCACAAATGCTTGAAATTAATTTACGGCGACTGCCGGCTTTGTAAGAGTTTGATTAATTTACGGCGACTGCCGGCTTTGTAAGAGTTTTACTTGTTGTTTGTTTGGCTGACGAAGCGAAAGTGAGTGTTTTGTTTTGCTTTACCGGCTTTCTTCTAATTGGTTCTCTTAAATCATATGTTGCATACGAGACCATCGCTTTTAGGAACTGTCGTATGATTGGGTGAAAAAATCTGGCGTGACTTAGTTTTAATTGTTTGCGAAGTAGCAGGTGTCTTTGAAGGTTATTTGAAAGTTAACCGGGTTGTTATTTCACAACTTTAGACAATTGGTTTATACAGGGAGTGTCTATCTAGTATTTTATTCTTTTTGTTAAGTGCGTAGGTTTATACAGGGAGTGTCTATCTAGTATTTTATTCTTTTTTGTATTTGAATGCTGATTTAGATTAGCGGATAGGACATGTTGAATGTAATTTCAAAAAAACAACAAAAATACATGTTCTATTGTTATCCAAAAAGCTGTTTCTTTATTCAAAAAGTTGAATTGATATAAATCTTCAATACAAATTTTATCTTATTAGGTATATGGATGAATGGTTGAGAGGTTCAATGTTAGCTATGGAAAAACTAAGACTTCGAATTGCAGCTTTAAAGAGTCAATATAAGAAACTAACAAAAACTTATATTCAAAGAAAGGAACTAGGTGCAAACGTACACACAGTTGATTTTGATCAACTGGAAATAGCGAACAAACATTTACTCATAAAAATTGATCAAAAACAGGTAAGCACGACATACAGGGCTTTGCAAGAAAGGAAAAGATGTGGTATTGACGTTGTCAGTTACAGGTAGGTATCGTGCTATTGACTAATGAATTTATCTGTAACTGGTAACCTTCCACTCCCATACAAGCAAAGCAGGAGAGAAGATTTGGTATTACCAGTTCTTTCTAGTTCAAATTGAACCCAAATATACTTTTTAGTTGTAAAAATAAGGGATACAAAATTTTGTAGCTTCATATTTTCATCTTCATTTTTTAATGTCAAACATAAAATACTGTGGTGTACCTAATGACCACAGTATGCCCAATGTTTTGATAGTCTTTTTTTAGGTCCATCTTGTCGAGTTAAAGAAAATGAACGGTGGAGCCAACCTTGTGTTAAGTAAACATAAAAAGATTCTGCTTCAACAACAAATAGACTTCAATAAATTAAGAAAAGACATAGAAGCGAAAGAACAACAAATTGATGAGTTGGAAGAAGAATTTGTTAAAGTCGAAGAAGAAAGAAATATCGCCAGATCAAAATTTGAATATTTTAAAAAATTCAAAAGTTCACACAGGTACTTTTATTTATTTAATTATTTATTGCTTTAATGAGACCCAACAGTTAGAGGACAAATTGCATTCCAACATATTACAAGTAGATAAAAAATAACAAATAACAATAACAAAATAAGATACGGTACACAAACATTGGTTTGCTGGTAATATTTTCTTAATGCCCACTTTTCTGGAGGTTATTATTAAGAAGACGCGGCCAGTATACTTCTTTTTTCCGCTTATCTGCTTAATAACACGCAATACATTATAAATATAAATAAAATCAACAGACAAATAGTAGAACTAGAAAGTTTTAATTACTCAAATTCTGTCTTGTCAGTAGAGCTACATTAAGAATCAATTATCATGGCAGCCAGCATTTTGGGGTACATTTTTATTTTCGCGATGCTTTTTCTAGAGTTTCTGAGATATATAAACCCACCTCCTCAGTACAAATTTCTGGATACGCTACTGCTTTCTTAAAAAACAAAAAATAAAATAGGAAACACATCCTACCTTTATTGCCACTAGGATTACTTCTTTGACAGCGTTTCACAACCGATTATATAAATAAGTTGGCTCCAGGCTGTATAGTCTGTCTTATTATAAATATTTCTGATTTTAGAGTGCCCGATATTGTTGAATACGTTGTGTTGAAAAAGGAAATAGATGAAATAAATAAAAACATCAAAATATGGCAAAGAAGAAAAAATATTCAAGAAATTAGTTTGAACGCGTCTATTAGAGAAATTAAACATATAACAGGCTCATCAGTTGTCGATCCAGCTTGGATAGAAGATCCAGTTACAGATACAGAATTTGAATTCAATTATTAAATTTTTTTTTTAGTTAATTATCATTATCAGTGAATTCAAAATCAGGTTATGAATACAGTAATCCCAAATTATAATTAAACATTTTTATTAAATAATATTGAAATAACGATAAACAACTACTAGACCAATTTTGTTTATAGAAAGTGAATTGCAAACATTCACGTTATTATCTACATAGTTGCCAAATTATTATGGGAGATGATATTACAAGGAATAGTTATGATCCGGAATTTACAAAAAAGCTCTAAATTACATTGTGAGATCTAAAGGATCTTTTCATACCTTTAAATCTAACCATCTTACACATGGCTACTGTAAGTTTGAAATTTGATTACTTACAATAAAATAATTATTAAATTGAATGTAAAAACTGGCAATGGTACAATATCTAAGCCAACAGTTTCATTGAGCTCTCAATCAAAGTTACCCAAAGAAAAATATCAAGTCCATTGGAGTTGTGTGTTTGGATTTACCTCGTATATTTTATTTTTTTAGCGCCATTTGGCTATCCATTTTGAAAATATAATTGCTATCAAACTTGTTTCAGAAATGCACGCAAATAAGACCAGCTCTCAACTAAATGTTGATGACGATAGCATGCAGGTAGAAATTTTAACTCTTCAGGCGTAGATAAATTAAATGTCCATTATAATGTTGTAAACTCATAAAAATTATAGCAATTTACGGGCAATTATCTTCTCCACTACCCAAATATAAAAAAAAAGATCAAATTACGAACCGTTTTATACTTTTTGAACATAATGGTTTATTAACTTGGAACTTAACAAAAAAAACAAGATCATTAAAAAAGTAACAGTAACCAAAACGCTTTAAATAGTTAATAGTTCAAGAATGGGAAAACAGTTAGACTTTATTAAAGTTGAGAACCTTTAGTTTTTACAAGTACAAGTGCATGATTTGCTGACCAAGTCAATATCGTCAGAAAATCATAAATAATCTTTTTCCACGGCCACTACTGAATATAGTTCTTCCGAAACCGTTTGTAATATAAAGAAAACAATATCGCTCTTAAGATTGAAAGAAATTTCTTAAACACTTGCCTCTTATGTATTTTACATGTATTATATTCTAACTCTAGAGTCAAAATTTTCATTATGTAATAATCTGATCTAATTTTCTGATAAAAATACTCAAAAATACCTGCCGACTAAATAGTACCAAGGTATTAAGAGGAAGACGTTACTAGAGATGTTACTATAAAATTGGTGTTAAGGATGTAGTACAGGTTCAAGAGGTAGACATTTTATTCATACCTCATCCTTCAATGCTTAGTTATAATTGAAATTTTAATACATCTTATCGGCCTAATAAAAGTTTTCATTTAGATACAATCATGTGTTCATTATTTTTACTGTAATAAACCTTTTCTATTGACAGATAAGTCAGACTTTATTTTTTCATAGCCATATCGTATGTATTTTAATTGATACGGAATTTTGTATGAATATGTATTATAATTTTACAGTCATATAAAAATGGCGAGTGCATTAGAAAATATTGAAAGCACAAGACAGTTCTTAAACTTTTTTTTAATCTTTGATTTTAGGTACTAAAGTATTACTTTTAATGTCAAGAAAAAAGTTTAATCCCGTTAAAAACATATAATTTTCCTTGTTATTTATTGGTTAAATTTAATTCGTTCAATGTTAAAGTTCAACAATTTTGTCAGAAGCATAAGGTTTATTTTTATTTTTTATAAATAATATAACTTCTTTTATTCAAACTTTATTCTACGAAATGCGTAGGTTTATACCATTTTATATGCTGTGACCTTATTTATATTATAGACACTTATTTTGCAACGTACGCCTATGAAATGTGACGTTATATCCCCACTTTTTCTGCAATCTTCTTTTATTCAGACTATAGTGGAAGTTAAAATAGTTGTCATATAAAAAATTTGTCAGATAGATTCGTTTGCATTTTGTATGTACTGTAAATAAACGATTAAAATGACACGTGTGTTATAAATTGGTGTCAGGTATGAAGACTGTGTCAGGTATGAGGAGGAATTCATAAGTTAATTTGGAGTACCCCTTAAATTACATTAGGATTAGCAAAAAAATTTTGAAGGTAAACTATTTCAAGACGACCAGAAACTGGGAATTCGAAAAACCAGAACCACAGCACTTTACCCTCAATCTGATGGAATGGTGGAGCAAGAGCGAATGAATCGAACTCTTGCTAGATATTTGTTAAAGTTTGTCTCCGAACATCAGAGAGACTGTGACCGACACGTTCCATTCTTTTTGATGGCGTTTTGATCAGCAGTGAATGCGTCTTCAGATCAGACATCTGCAAAAGTCCTGTTTGGTATTTGGTTGTAAGCCTGGTGATGACACAGCTGGAGAAGACTATGTCTGTGACCGCATAAAGAAACATCATGACAAACGAACAGAAGAGGAGAGCTACCAGGAAAGAGATTTCGTCTGGCTCTATAATCGACAATGAAAACTAGGTCTACGTCCTAAATTACAGAAGAACTGGGAAGGTCCATACACCGTAAAGAAGAAAATAAATCACGTCATTTACCGAATTGTCAAGGCTCCCAGAGAGATATTAATAGTGGTCCATCATGATCGACTTGCACCAAAGATTTGGGTACAGCCACACACGACAGCATCAGCATTCTAGGAGGAATACATCTATAGAAGAAAGGGTGGCAGTGTAATGAATTAGCCGACGTACAGTGGCCAATAGATGTTGAGTTGCCACTAGTGGAAATTAAATAGTTGTCATATAAAAAATAGTTACCAGATTATAAATAGATGTCGACCGTATTCGTTTGTATTTTGTATTTCCTGTAAATAAACATTTAAAAAGACCACGTGTTTTCTAAGACCATTATAATATTCAAATAGATGCCTACCTACTGTTATCAGAGATATTTGATTGCGAGATATTTGATTGCGACTATTTTCTCCTTGGAGTTGAAAAACACCCTATTTGATCTTGCAAGTCGTTCTCTTTAGGACAGGTTAAAGTGGTATTTGTACCTAACTTATGCTAGAAAAGAAATATAGTTTTATGTCTAGGAACCAAGATATTTGATTGCGACTATTTTCTCCTTGAGGTTGAAAAACACCCTACTGATACCTATAGTTAATTTTGTAGAATAACATTTCTTAGTTATTCATATATTTTAAAAATATTTACAACGATGTTTATTAAATTAACTTAGATTAAGTAACATAACCTCAAAATGTTTACCAATATAAACATACATTAGTCGTTTTCTTTTTACAAGCATACTTGACTAACTAAAAGTTAGATTCTGATCTAAGCTTAACTGTAAAAAGAACGCGAATTTTGGTTGACAGGTGACGTGCCCCATGTCATCCGTTTAAAAACAATCCATATTTAATCAAATTTTATAATTTTTTCAACATTCAACACTACAAATCTCACCCCCTGTTATCATAGTCTTTTATTCTCTCTAAAATAATGAATTCATGGTATATGTTTGTTCATATGATGCACAGAACACTCACTTTCTGTGATGGTTTATGGTTGACGTCAAGTACCGTGCACCTTAGCATCGGTAAGGGGGGAAGAAAGATTCTGACTTACAACTGGATTGTCTCTGCTTACAATCATAAAAAGAACGTACATCTCAGCTTAGTTGATGTAAGTTAGCAGTTGTAAAAAGAAAACGACTATTGAAACTCTCCCCAATAAAGTTCAAACTACATTAAATAGTTTTATTTTGTTCAACATTTTAAAAGCAATGCCGTTCTCGTTAGAAACATCGTCCTTGTTACATCTTTCAAATGACTGAAACGACACTAGTATGCATTTTTATTAATGATTGGAACTACGAGCCCTTTTACGTTATTCCTTGCTTGCTTAGATGGTTATATCTCAAAGAAGAGAAGATTTTTATAAACTAATTACATTGCACAGCTAAAATTTTCCATTTTATTAATAAAAATAAGTATAGCACTAACGAAACGAAATCAAAGAGACTATTTCAATTGATACTAGTTGACTCAAGTCTTAAGGTAAAATTCGGGAACGCGAGGCCGATGCAAGCGACAGTGCAGGCAGCCAAGCAGTAAACACTGCCGTGTTAAAAGTGCTGTCGCCGTCTCTTGCTTCGGTAGCTCGCTCTCAAATGTACTTCATATAATTACATGTGATTCATACGTAAGAGACACATGGTACCTCTTTAAGGTACAATTTGGGAACGCGATACCGAGACAGGAAACAGAGGCAAGCGATCGCGTAAGGTGACCGATGCACTTAGTTACGTGTTGAAAGTGCTGTCGCGGCCTCTTCCATTGGTCGCTTGCCTCAGTCTACTGCCTCGGTCTCGCTTTCCCAAATGGTGCCTTTAAAGTGAACTATACCAGAATCAGCTGTGGACAAGATACTAACTAAATATTTAGCAGACGCCTATGAGGGCCCTTAAAACTCTCAATTATTCACTCGTTCTGACTCTTGTTCTTCCTGTTTTTTAACGGGGTTATAAATTAAAATGGAATGAATAATTTCAATTGTTTACCTTAAACGTCACTATCTATTTTATTTTTAGTAGTGTCTACCTACACAAATTTAAACAAAAAAACTGATTATTTGTAATGTATATCAAATATCCAACTGAAAACTTGTTTTTTGGTACCAGAAATAACTAGACAAAGATTTTTAAAACTTTTGTAACGCGATAAGTACCTGTTCCAAGGAAGGCATTAATCGTGTGAAAGATTTCGCTGATTAACGTTACGCTGCCTTTTAAAAGTAGTAACTGATAATTACATAAATAATTATAACTTATCAAAAACGTAGACATCAAAGTTTCACCCTGTTGTTGACGATTATTCATTAAGGAAGCCAAGGCATCAATTTGCCAACATTAGTGATGTAATTTAATGCAAGTGATGATCGCAAACTTTCTATAGTCAAAGAGCCAACAACTGCATGAGTACCTACCAATATATACTTCAATATCATTTCTGAAATCTTTAGTTTTGCATATATTCATGAAATGCCAGAAAAATAATTCTCTTAGCCTTTTTTCTTACCTGCTGTTCAATCAATTAGCATATTATTTCTAAATTAATTGTACTTATATATTCTTGTACTCTGACTCTGTAATTGGGTCTTGACCTGTTGAGTACTGTAATAATAATAAATAAATTAGTGATCTCTTTTACTGCCTTTTAAATATCTTG